GACAGTTATATTATGTCCGACATGATTGAACTCAAAACTAAGCATGTTGTTATTATTATTTTTTTATATTTTAAGTAATATAATAAAAAATAATTATTTCTTACCTCTTAATTTCATTTTATTCATACGTTATGTAATTCAAATTTAAAATTTTTTATTTTTATTAAAAGGATGATCGACAACCTATCTAACAAATAAATAAAGTCGAAGAGTATGTTTAGGCTGAATCCAAACTTGTTTACAATGAGCTCAAAACTAAGCTTGCTTCTTTTTTCTCTTTTTTTTTTTTATATTTTGAATTATATAATAAAAAACAATCATTTCTCATCTTTTAATCTCCTTCTACATACATGCTATGTAACTTAAACTTGAAATCGCTTACCTTTACTGAAAAGTAATCCTTTACCATTGTTGGCCAAAACTAAGCTTGCCATTTACCCATGGTTTGCATTTTACTCAATTAATTGCGACCGGCACTTGGGTGCTCTGAATTTCGATTTCTCAATTCTGGGGAAAATGTTTAAGCTTGCTATTCAACCTTATACCGCAAACTTTCAGTCCCCTCTTCTGTGTAGAGGAAAGAAAGTGGTTCATGTGACATACGAAAGGCTACTGAAGCATACAACACCGTCATGGAATTGCTTTGGAAGAAGAGGCTCATTATTGACGATCTGAACATTGTCTCTTAAACGAAGTACATAGGCGTTGAGCCTAATGTTATCATCCATAATGCTTTAATTTATGGTCTATGGAGGGATTAGTCCTAGTCTTAATTTTAGGCTACATTTTAAACAATTAACAGGTTAACCAAAACCAGTTCTTATGATCCCAGCTTAAGCCCTTATTTGGTTTAACTGTTAAGTAGCAACAACTAATAACAGTTCTGTAATAAAATGGATAGGAGTTGTGGCAATCAGTTTCCCTAACAACCAACCAAACAAAGACTTAGTGGTCCTCTAACCCCTGAGGTTTCCTCGGGTCAACTACACTTATATGGTGGAGTGTTGTTTTCGTATTTCCCCCTTCCCCCGAAAATTCCCATTGTTCAAAATTCAGGTGATCTATCTAAGCAACAGAACTACATATACTTTATATACTCTTAAAATCGTTTTCACCAACATAACTTCCTAACAACAAACAAACTACAGTATTGTACCAAGGAAAATAAAGATCCCACATGAAGGTCTAAAAGCAAGTCCAATATAAAACAAATACCTATTTGACTCCAAGTATAGACATTAGAAAATGAAGCATGTTATTGACTTCCACCAGATCGGAATGGTTGTTCAGGGAAGCAGGTGGTTCAACTCCAGTGAAAAGGTAGAGAGCCTTTAATTCTTCGATGCATGTTTGTTCTGGTGAACCTTTATATCCAACTATTTTTCGTATTGCGTTCATTTGTTGCCATATCTTCTCCTCCCTATGTTCCTGCAGTAAAAACAAAGTTTTGTGATAATTTCAAGGAAACTTAGAGGTGAATCTGCTCAATTATTTACAAAATTGACCAAATACCAGTGGTTCACAGAGATAAGAATAATTAGCTCAGTAAAAACCTCGTGTTACAATTAATAGTAATACCCTTTTATAAAAAATAATAATAATCACAACAAAACATTAAAAGACAAACATGTTGATTTGAATACTAATTTTATATATGGTTCGTCATTCCTCAATCATCTAACACAAGCTAGGCCACAATACAAAATTTGAATGTTTTGAACAAGATAATTCTTACTACGGGATAAGATTAAAGAATGAATATATTGTTGGACCCTAGCCTGCTCTTATTTGCTAATCTGCATGAAGTGACGATGGTGCTTGGAATTTGATGAGCAAGCATGCACAGGCAGCTATAGAAAACATGTAGATGCTGAATGAATAACAGTCAACAATGTGTTCTGCATGCCTCAACAGGACATGATTAATTTTCTCATCACTTGTGTAAATTCATGCCTAATTGCTAACATTTTGGAGCAAAGATCTAACAAAGGGAGGAAACTAATCAACTAAGTAATTTTGCTAAGTATATTCTCTAATATAACTCAAGTAAACTAATCAGGTAGGTATATAACTGAATGGAGCCATCATCACATTTGCATGCATATAAATTTCAAATGGAAATAGCAACATTAATCTAAATTCTAAAACATACATTACGTGATCCTAACCTTATCTAAAGCTGTAGCAAGGTCTTTTCGAGAAAATTGAGTGTGGTCTACAAAATCGGAGCATTGATGGTGGTCCAGGTGACCTGGTGACTGCTGACTTCCTGCAAATGGACCATAAATCAAACTTATGAACAAAGATTAAACGACATTCAAGAAAAATATGAAATATGATGCATAAAATTACCATCATAATTGTCATTATCTAGATATGAGTATGACTGACTAACTGCCTTTTCGTGTTCCCACAAGTCAAGTCCACCTTCAAGAATAGTTTCTTTTGCATCCTCATTGGAGGAAATCATTGTTCCCTTCTCCCAATTCACTTGAGAATCTTGTTGTGCATTTATTGCAATATAATCTGCTTCTTGAGTTGATACAGCACTGTCTATCCGAGGTTCCTGTCTCTCTTTTGCACCTCTACCATCACTTATTGTTTTCCCCATTCCCTCTACTAGATCTATAGTCGTCAGAATGTTCTTGACATCCTTTTGCTTAGAACCAGCAATATTCTCTCCCAGCTTCATCTCTTTTGGTACAAGATCCATATTGCCAGTAGATCCTATTTCTTGCAATTCCTTACTTATTTCTGGGGTTTGCTCATCAGTATCGTTTTCTATTTTCTGTTCAAACTCAATCATTGGCCTGCTTGTTTCCACATTGCCAAGTACAAATTTCTTTTCAAATCCTGACCCTGATTCTTCAAGATTCCTAGCAACTTTAAAATCTTGCTCTGCTCCTGCAATTTCCGTTTCCACATTCTGCTTATCCTCCACAGAACAATAAATTTTCCCCTTGTCCCTGATTTTCTCTGATACTCCCTTTGTCTCCCTTACTACTTCCTCAACCTCTCCAGCATCCATATCTCGAAATACTTGTACAGTCAAATTTTTTGCTTCAACTGGTCTTTTCTTCCCAATATTGCTGCTACTCTCCCCAACACCCTCACTGAAAGCCATAATACCAGAAATCTCATCCACATCAACTGGCTCCGCACCACTTCTTTCTTCAGTTATTGGTTCTTTCTCAATCCATTCTGTTGTTACCTCGCATTCAATATCTTTTGATAGTTCTTTGACCTCTCCCAAAAATTGACCCTTGTCTTCCCCATCATCATTTTTCTTCATTGTGTCATCCTTCTGAATACCTCCTTCCTCACAAGTATCCTCTAAATCATTTTCAGCAAATTCCCTTTTTCCCTCATCAACTAATTCAATCCTCATCTCAACTTCTTCCATTGTATCCTCCCTTAATTTTTCACATTCCTTCTCCATATCAGAATATCTTTTAAACTTAACCTCCTCCCCTGCTCTGTTCTCATCAGTGTCAGCTCCTTCAT